GGAATCTTTAGGATAATTAAAAAAAAAATATTTTTTATTAATTTTATTTACTTTGAACAAGTTTTTCGAGTATTATAAAAAGATGCAATTTATTCAAGATAAAATTATAAAAGTTTTATTTAAAGTGAGGCTATCGAAAGAATGCGATCCTGACAAGTCGTGATTGAACGGACGACGTAGCTTTGAAGTGACGTTGAATTTAAGATGTAAAAAAAATGTTTATTTGCCATACTAACGGATAATTATATTTAAAAATATATCATTATGTCAACTTAAGATAAATGTTATATTATTGCGCTCAATATAATGTTAAATATACAAGAAAACACCATTTTTTTAAATGATACTATGCTGTTATAAGAATAGATCATTTGTTTATTTTTGTAGTGATGTGCCAAAAATAGCAGATAAAAGGAACGTTATTTGTCGTTATACTATACAATAATGCGTTTTTATTTCGAATAATTGGATAATAAAACAATGTAGTAATAAAGTTAATCTTTATATATAAAAATTACCTGTCACATTGTAAGTGCACGATGAACTCCTAAACTACTGAACTGATTTCAATGAAATTACGCACACTGTGTGCAGTTTGGTCCAACAAGGATAGTTTTTATACCGATAAGTGACCATCAATTTTTTTAATGCTAATTTCAGAAGTCTTATTAGGAAAGCAAATGGTCGTCTGAAACCGCAGAACAACGTCTGCCTGGTCAGCTACTAATATTATAAAACGGCGCCGAAACCAAACGTGCGAAGGGAAGTAGCGTAATATAAGAAAATATTTTTATACTTATTTGAAAAAAAGGTACGACTTAAAGTTTTGTCTATTGTCTGTTTATGGTAAAAAATGGAAGAAAATATTTTACGAACTTCGAAGAAGAAACACAGAACAAAACCTGTGACAGATTTATCCAAAATTTGAAAGATATTGGTTTTCAATATAGAAAAACAGACAAAAGAAAAGTTCTTTTAAAACGTTACGATATGATTTGAAAACGAATAATATTTTTAAGAGAAGCAAAAAACATCGATAACTAGGATAACATCGTATTCATTGATGAAACATGGTTAAACGCCAATCACACGCTTTCCCGTTCTTGTAGAGATGATACACAAGCGGCTACGTCAAAAATACCAATGGATAAAGGGCCCGGATCTAATATTCAACGCTAGTTCTACAAAATAAGGTTTCGTAGAGAACGGCTACTGACATTTGAATCAAAAACAACTACCGACTACCACGAAAAAATGAATGCGGCTACATTTAAAAAGTGATTCCTGAATGTGCTATTGCCCGGCCTGCCAGAGCCTTCTGTAATATTTATGGATAATGCCCCTTATCATTCAGTGCAAGTACAGACAGTGCCTACACAAGTCAATAGAAAAGGAGAATTTGTGGCTTGGCTACAAACAAACGGCATTAACGCAAATATGAAAATTCTAAAAGCAGAACTAATCCAATTAGTCCAAGACAACAACCCGGTAAAATTACGTTATGAAATAGATGATTTTTATCTGAAATACAGTTATCGCGTTCTCAGAATTCCTCCCTATCATTGCCAGTACAATGCGATTGGGCTAATCTGGGCTCAAATAAAAGGTTACGCAGCCCGCCATAACACTTCTCCATCTAGGCTCCAGTGTCATAATAGCTGGAGACCTCAACAGTAACCATTCCTCATGGAAATCGCTTTCCAACAACCCAAATGGTGATGCATTGTTCGATCTCACGGAGCGACTAAACTTCAACGTTATTGCGGCTGAGACTCCAACTCGCTACCAGTCAACAACCAAATGTCCTTGACGTAGCAATACTCAAAGATATCCGTTTGTCGATAGCATCGATCGAAACTATTTTAGAACTTAACTCGGACCATAAACCAATCCTATTGCAGCTGGGCCAGACCGCAGGTGAGGTCCTTCAGACCAAAACCATTGTATACTGGTATAAGCTTGAGGTCAAACTCGAGTCTACGACTTCCCAGCACCTAGCCAAAATCCCAGACAAAATAGACAGGCCAGAGAAAGCCAACGAGGCGATTAGCGCCCTATTGGCCCACCTCACCTCTACAGTTGAAGAATGCTCTTGTAACGTTTGTGTGTCGAGCAATCGATACTGGAAGCTTCAGAGCAATATTCAACAGCTAATCAGAGCAAAGAACGCGGCCCAAAGACAATACGATCACTATCGTACTGTAGACAACAAATTTTGACTACACAACCTCCAACGCTCGTTTGTCTTCTAGTAGGCATATTCAACGCCCTTCTTTCCAGCTGCTTCTTCCCGGATGCATGGAAAGAGGCGACGTAATAGAAATCCCAAAACCGGGAAAACCGCATATTTTTGTATATTGATATAATACTCTCGAAACTGACAAACTTTTATTAAAAAACAACTTCTCAATTAAATTACATTGTGTAACTTTACCTCAGTGTCAACTAGCGACATCTGGTGAGCAGAAAATTATTAGCCCTCATTCAATATTCACTGGGTTGCGGTCTATACCAGCCTTATATAGGGCCTCAGATAATTTCCAGAACCTTCTACTGTGGAAACATCTAGAATATTCCAGTACATACCGGCCCTGACTGATCACCTATCAGATAGTTTGATAGTTCTAGAAAGTTCTTCCATGGAAATTTCTAGAAAGATCTTGACTCTCCTAGTTCTGCTACTCGATACTAGAGGCAGGCATTAATGTGACCACTGCCCCCTCCTAAGACATGCTCGTCCCGAAAATTATCGGGCCCATAATAACGCACCAGTAGATCCACATGGACGATCTTAGGAGTACCTCTTGCAACTTTTTCTATCTGGTAGGTTACGTCATTCATCCTAGTCACAATCCGGTACGATCTCTCCCATTTAGCTTAATGCTTAGGAGATTTCCCTTTGCTGTGAACTGGATTGTGCAACCACACTAGTGAACTTTCGTCGAACCCTTTGTTGTTCATTTTGCGGTCATACCGGGTCATCTTTTTAGACATTTGCTGGCGCAATTGTCATTCCTAAATGTCATTCATTTCGTTCCGCAAGTCATTTGCATAATCGGTTATACTGCGTGGGGCATCCGGTGGTATTCCGGTGATCGGTCTGCAAGCAGCCGTAATTCTCTCCCAAAGTTTGCGAAAGCTGGTGTCACTGATGTACTTTTGTGAACAGCACTTCGATATGACAACAAAAACGGTTGTATCTGCCTGTCCCAGTCTCGTTGCCGTTTTTCCACAACTTTTGCTAGGTACCTCTCCAATGTCTGATTAAATCGTTCTACCATTCCATCAGATTGTGGGTGGTAAGGAGTTGTTCGTGTTTTATGAGTACCCATAACCCTGCAAGTTTCCTGGAATAATTGAGACTCAAAATTCCTTCCTTGATCGCTGTGAATCTCTAAGGGTACTCCAAAACGACAGAAGACTTTATGAACTAGTTTATTTGCAACTGTTGAAGCTTCTTGATTTGGAATGGCGAAGACTTTTGGCCCCTTAGTGAAGTAATCCATCACAACCATGAAATTTTTATTTAATTATTTTCATTTTAAATTGGCGGAATCATTTAAAATTTATATTTTAGTAATTTAAGTGGAAAGCAAAAAAAGGTAATATTAAAATAATAAAATTGTTTTATTTATTCTTTGTTACAAAGTTACAATCTGTATTTCTATGCAATAAAGTAGATTGAATTGAATGTGCGTACAGTATATTAATCAGACTCCGATTCGCTTGAGGAGGTGGTGTCTTCATCATCATCTTCGTCTACATGTATAATTATATTATTATCAATAACAGAATCAATCTTGATATCTCGGTCAAAATGTTCCACAATCAGGTTTTTAGTCTTCTCAACAACCTTTGCCCAGTCATCTCTTGTGACTTCCCCGCAGGCTTCTTTTAATAGGGTCATCATCTTTTTCGTGCTGAATGGCGGGGAAGTATTGTGGCGGGCGGCGTAACCTTTTATTTGAGCCCAGATTAGCTCAATCGCGTTATATTGGCAATGATACGGTGGAATTCTTAGAACGCGATGACCGTACTCCAGAGCCAGTTCATCGATTTCGTATCGCACATTTTCCGCTTTATTTTCTTTAACTAATTTAATTAGCTCTGGTTTTAGCATCTGCATATTTGCGTCAATGCCTTTTGCTTGTAACCAAGCCACCATTTCTTGTTTTTATTAGCTTGGTTAGGTGGTTTCTGTATTTGAACCGAGTGATAGGAGGCATTATCCATGAATATTACAGAAAGCTCTGGTAGGCTGGGCAAAAGCACGTTCTGGAACCACTCTTTAAATGTAGTGGCATTCATTTCCTCGTGGTAGTCATTTGTGGTTTTTGATTGAAATGCCAGTAACGCGTTCTCCACAAAGCCATATTTTGCAGAACCTGCGTGGCATATTATCAGACGGGCCCCCTTACCCATTGGTACTTTCGACGTCGACGCTTGTGTATCATCCGTCCAAGAACGGGAAACCGTGTGATTGGCGTTTAGCCATGTCTCGTCTAATTGCTACTTTCTTTCGCGCGTTCGGTTTGGTCGTAGTCTTATTTTTATATTTAATAAAAGTTATCTTATAGTCCATTATTTTCAAATTCTTAAAAAGAAAAACAAAACGTATTATTTTATAAAGTATAACTGTATAAGAACAGATTACGATACTGTTATTGCCTGTTATTGTTATTGTCCGGCCGCTGAGTTATTACCGATTTGACACATGACGAATTGACAATACTAGTGAAGTGACTGAACCAGTAACCCTAATATCATTTGGGAACAGTTTGTTTTTAAATATTCTAGTATAGTGTGTAATTAAATAAAATCAAAACAATAATAGTTAAAGACACAGGTTCTTTATTAGGTGGAGTATCCTTAATGGGCGTAGATAATTGGTCGAGGACATATCAAAATAAAACAAATTTGTAAACACTGTTACACATTTTAATGAATAGAGTAGGTACAAGATGTTTTAATAAATGACTACCTATCATTTATTAAAACAATTATTCAGACTCTGAACCAGATTCGCCAGAGCTGTCATCGCTATCAGTCACTTGTATGACAATTTCATTCTCTATAATGGTGTCCACTCTTATATCGCGTTCATAATCTTCTGTTATTAGTTTTCGAGTCTTTTCGACGACCTTGACCCAATCTTCTTTCGTTATTTTGCTGCAAGCATCTTTTAATAGGCCCATCATTTTATTAGTACTGAATGGCGGAGTCGTATTATTACGAGCTGCGTAACCTGTAATGTAAACATTAAATAACGTTAATTTATTACATTAAATAAACGAAATGTTACACAATTACCTACATGTAAGGGACATGAGATATTTATTTCTTAGTTATGTATCTTTTTACTTATATGCTGAATATTGGATGTTATAATAGTACAAATCATTTATATTCATAACTTATGCGATAAAAAACAATACCTTTGATTTGTGCCCATATTAGCTCAATGGCATTGTACTGGCAGTGATAAGGCGGAATTCGAAGTACCCGATGTCCATGTGCTAGAGCTATCTCATCTACTTCATAACGGACTCTTGATGTTTTATTTTCGCGTACCAACTTTACTAAGTCAGACTTTAGCATTTCGGCAGTAGTTTCAATTCCATTTTGGTGTAGCCATGCTACGAGATCAGCTTTCTTGTCGGCCTGAGTAGGCGCTTTATTCACTTGTTTCGAATGATATGAAGCGTTGTCCATTATTATGATAGAAGGCTCTGGCAGGCTGGGTAATAATTGATTTTCGAACCAATTCGTAAAAGTGTCTGTATCCATCTCCTCGTGGTAATCGGAAGTACTTTTTGACGCGAAAGCCAGCAGTCCATTTTCAAAGAAACCATTTTCAGCAGAACCGGCGTGACAAATTATCAGTCGCGATCCTTTTCCAATTGGAACCTTTGAGGTTGATGCTTTTGTTTCGTCAGTCCAAGAGCGTGACACAGTGTGGTTCGCATTTAACCATGTTTCGTCAACAAAAATGACGTTGTCCCAAGACTCGATTTTTCTGGCTTCTCTTAAAAACTCGCTCCTTTTAATTATTAAATCAAATTTTTCCATTAATATTTTCCTTTTATTCGTTTTTTAATATTCAAACCCAGTTTCGTGCAATAGTTTTGACAACGCCGTTTTACCGCCTTTAAACAAGCCAGCTTCTTTTAAAGAGACCAAAATCAAACGTCTAGTTGGAAACTCGTTCCTAGTATAATAACCATATATGTGGTTTCTTATTGCATCTGCATCAAAAACATCAACACCTGTCACGGGCTTTTGTCTTCGTTTTTTCTTAGGAGTGCGTAAAACATTATCTTCACTTCCAGAAGCACCAAATTTTTCTTTATTTATATTATATAGTGTTTTTGCACCAATTCCAAGAGCTTGTGAAACCCGATCTTTCACTTGAGTGACAGGAATCAAAGGGCTGCCATTTTGTGACTCACGCTCAAAGTAATCCTGTAGCTTTAGTACAAGCTCACGACATTGACTATTCAATGTTTTTCCTCGTTTCGGCATTTTCAACAAAATTACCAAACACAAACAAAATTAGTCCAATAAAGCGCAACGATAAACAGGAGAACGCCGAGTCAAAAAACAACGGTTACACAAGAGAACGTAGTCTGTGCGCACGAGAGTACGGAAGACGACTAAACAGATTAAAATGGCGGTGGTAAGGGTGTTGCCAGAATAGTATCGCCAATTACTTAAAAAAATACACCCATAACATTGCTTAATTGAGGGAGAAAATTATATTTATTAAATGTTGTTTTATATATTATGAATGTTAAAAATTATACATAATCATTTTAATTGTAGTTATTTTTAAATCATAGAAAACAGTATTTCTGTCTTTGGATCACACATAAATCTTAAAAATCATAGAGATACTGGCAACACAGTGCAATTAGGAGACGCAAAAAAATGGTAGCATTATAGTCTAGATGCTCGAAGGAATAAGTAAAATAAAAATATCCAAATAAAATAAATATCATATCTATTCCAATGAATTCGGACCGAATACTATCAAGCACATCACTATGAAAACTAGACGCACGATGTAACTTTGTACAAGCGCGCCGAAGAACAAAAAATAAATGTTTTCATATTATTTACAAACTATTTTAAGTTTTGAAACAGAGTTTATTGGAAAATTACTTGATTCTGACATTTTGACATAAAGTTTTATATTAAAGAGGTATTCTAAATCATTCGGCAAATGTGTCGCTCGTGCAAGGTTATATCGATTAATTTAAGAATAATCTGTCAAATCAGTAATAACTCAGCGGCCGTACTATAGCACAGCACTACAAATATAAAGCGCTGACATAACCTTGTAATAGCGCAGTATAGATTTAGAAAAATATTGTTTACCAAGTTATTTGACACTCAGTTTGGCACAAAATTATAACATTCATTGATTATTGATATAATAATGTTGTTTTAATACTCCTCAATTGTTAAAACGGTAAACAACCAGCAAAAATATTTTTATCGTAACTGCAACGCCATTACAAGGCTACGTCGTCAGTTCAATCGCGACGTGTCAGGAACGCATTCTCTGAACGGCCGAACTATAACATTGATTTAAATCAATGTTATCACTTCGGTTCGGTATAATTTAACAAATATAATATGTGTATTGCTAATATTAAAGTTTTAATTTGAATATAATTGATATATTTTCAATTTCATAAAACAAACAAGATAGAGGTGAATTATCCCCAATTCATACAAAGCTTGAATTTAGGGCGTGCCACATATTTAATGTGGCATGCCCTAAATTAAAATCAAATTACAATTACAAAGCCTACATCACAGTTCAAAGATCTTGCAGTTAAAAAGGCCTTTGATGTCAGACGATGCCGCCATCCGCGTAGGATTTTACTCAGCGTGTATGCTAGAGGTTGTCAAGAAAATGGAAATAAAATAATATTGGATATTATAATACTCATTATTATTTATTAACATTATGTAAATAAATAAAATAAAAATAAAATAAATAAAATAAAATAAATAAAATTACTTACGTTTTCATATCGTACACTGCACGTTGCGAAAGATGACGTAGGCAATGGCATTTCTCTCCCACAAAGAATAAAAGATAATTGTTATAGCTCAGTAAACTCGCTCGACAAAACTAACCCACATGATAAATTTATAAATAAAATTAGTTACAATATAATTTAAAAAGATGAATCAAAATTGAATGATGGCGATTTGAGAGATGCCGCTCGCCTTCTTTTCTCAAGTGATGCGTTAGCCCCTGACACTCCGGAAACTTTGTATTCCCTGAGGACTAAACATCCACTCCCATCGGCTGCCTTAAATTTACCAGATGCTCCTGATCTTTCTGAGCGTACACCGGAAGGCACTGCTGAGAAGGTTCAGGCTGCGATCAGTTCCTTTAGTAATGGATCGGCCAGTGGTCTCGATGGTCTTTCACCTCAACATTTAAAAAATCTTCTATCAGGTGCTGGGGGAAACACTGGCCGAGACCTTCTAAATGTATTGACGCAACTTGCAAATTTAATGCTTTCCGGAAAAGTTTGCCCAAATATAACAAGCGTACTTTATGGGGCAAACCTGTGCGCTCTTAAAAATAAGTATGGAAGTATACGGCCCATAGCTGTTGATAACACAATTCGCCGCATTTTTTCAAAGGTTTCTGCAAATATATCCAGGCAGACCTCGCGGCCTGAAATGACAAGCTCGTGGCCGTGAATGACAAGTTCGTGGAAACTTTCCTTGCGGTCGGAGCTAAGTTTTCCAAGACCCGTCGCAGAATAACACAAAAACTCTCCGATAAACTCTTAATCTCATGGCTGTCAGACGGGACATGAAGCTGCAGTCTTCAGTAGATTTGACAGCATACAGGCAACTGAACAGACAGATCACCAAATGCATGCGGCGGGACTTACGCAACTTTAATACTGCTCGTATTGAAGAAGTGATCGAGCGGAACCAGGGCTCCAAAGTATTTGCTAGAGATCTGTCTGCCAGAAAGAGCCAACTGTCGAAGCTAAAGACCGAGTGTGGCAGCGTCATTTCCGGGACACCTGAGATTTTGAGTGAGATTGAGAGGTTCATCACTCACTTTCGATTTGCCGACGATATAGTCCTTACGGCAGAATCTCTGGAGGACCTAAGCACTATGCTCAATGACCTCAATAGTGTTTCCCAACGGATAGATCTTAAGATGGACATGGACAAAACAAAGATCATGTTTAATGTCCATGTCACACCTATGCCGGTAGTTGTTGGGAGCACTAAGCTCGAATTTGTTGACGAGTATGTTTACCTGGGACAAATAGTCCGACTAGGTAAGTCCAACTTCGACCGAGAGGTCAATCGACGAATTCAACTCGGTTGGGCAGCGTTCGGAAAATTACGGCACATCTTCTCGTAAGGTATACCTCAAAACTTGAAAACGAGACTGTACAACCAGTGCGTGTTGCCAGTGACGACATATGAAACTGAGACGTGGTCCTTCACTGCTGGCCGGATGAGGAAGCTCAAGGTCGCTCAGCGAGCTATGGAGAGGGCTATGCGCGGAGTTTCTCTGCGTGATAAACTTAGAAATGAGGATATCCGCAGTATAACCAGAGTGATCGACATAGCCCAACGGATTAGTAAGCTGAAGTGGCAATGGGCTGGCCATATAGCTCGAAGAACCGACAACCGATGGGGAAAATAGGTTCTCGAGTGGCAGCCTCGTACCGGCAGGCGAAGTGTAGGGCGTCCCCCCACTAGATGGAGTAACGACCTGGTAAGATATGCAGGAAGTCGATGGATGCAGGTGGCTCAAGACCGTGCTTTGTGGCATTCCTTGGGGGAGGCCTATGTTCAGCAGTGGCTATATTCCCGCCTGTGCAGCTAGGTTTCGGGATTAAAAGTGGATGCGAAGGGGCTGTACATACAGCGCGCACCTTTCTGAAATACGGCGACGGTGAGATGCTACTGAAGATGGATGTTGAAAATGCTTTTAACTCAGTAGACCGAGGCACTCTACTGACACAGGTAAAAGAAAATGTCCCATCCATTTACCATTATTTCTGGCAATGTTATTGTACACCATCTACACTCATGTACAAAGAACACCAAATTTTATCCTCTGTCGGATGCCAGCAGGGTGATCCGCTCGGTCCGGCAATTTTTAGTTTGACAATACATTCGTTTATTTCCCGTCTCAAGTCAAAATTCAATGTCTGGTATTTAGATGATGGGACACTAGGAGGCGAAGCGAACTCAGTGCTTGATGATTTAACCAGTCTTATTTGTTCTGTTGGCCTCAAATTGAATTTTTCAAAGTGCGAACTTTTTATTAATGAGATTTTACCATCGTCCGAAAAAGATCAAATTGTTAACAAATTTAACTCCTTAGCCCCAAATACAAAGATAATTAACAGCAAATCGCTTCGCCTTCTAGGTGCTCCTATTCTAGATGAGTCATTTCAATGTTTTGTCAGTGAACAGATTTTAAAATTTGAGGAGTCATCCAGTCGTCTGAAAGAAATTAGCCCACACATGGCATATGCCATACTAAAATTTTGTCTTTTTGTGCCAAAATTTACGTACGTGCTGCGGTGTTCAACTCTTTGGTTGCATGTTCCATTTTTAAATCGTCTCGATGATATGATTAGGAAAACTATGATTGAAATTCTAAATTGTCCATTAAATGAAAATTCCCGGGTTCAGGCCACACTTCCCGTTAGTCTTAGTGGTCTAGGCATCCGAAGAGTTTCCAGCGTAGCACGTTATTAACCGATCACTCGGCAATGTAGAGGTCTCCTGCTTGGCTGAGGCCAAGCAAGCCTGAAGCAATAAGCCAGGGCGGGACCAGGTTTTTCCGACAAACTCAGCTTCGCAGAGGCTTTGGGATGATGGGCTCAGTATCCAGGTTCAAAAAATCCTTTTAGAAAACTGCGGAAACTCTACAGAGCGAGCTCGTCTCCTAGCATCTGAAAAGAAGGAGTCGGGCTACTGGTTGAATGCACTGTCCTCTCTTTCTCTCTTGCTATCAGCCTGAGATTAGGTTTAATAACCAATGAGCTCCATCGCTGCCG